CGTCTCCCAAAGGTGGTCCGCGGGCATACCCTGGCTGGCACGAGGTATTTGAATGTCTTCGTGCGGGGACTTGACAAGGCCAAGTTTGCAATCGGGGGCCTCCTCGGAGAGGACGACCACACCGCTGCGAGCACGCGCAGCACCGACTGCAAGAAGACCGTGTCCTTGTGAGGCCCGCGCGCGCCCCTGCAATGGACCCGCTGGCGATTCTGGGGCCCGTTCCCTCGAGCGCTGCGCGTTGCAGTCGGTCTCTGCGCTTGGATCACGAAGAGTCCGCATGGAGCGGGCTCCTGCCACTGAGGGCAGGGTTGGGCCTGTGCCGCCCTATTTCGGCGCGCCTTGACATTTTGTCCTCTGGGATTGCGGATGAAAAAAGCGCTTCATCCATAGTTCTTGATGCGATCGAGGGAGGTGCTTGTAGAACAGCGCGACTTTGGTCAGAGCACACTTGGAGGTCAGGGTCTTCGCTTCAGCGTGAGCAGGTGAGTTCGGGTTGCCGCGTTGGTTCTGGCAAGTCACCTAACCAGGAATGCTTTGCGTGCGCGGCTGCTGGGGACAGTCCAAACAGAACACATTAGCGTGGCGAAGGCCCAACGATACGAGAGCCCGAATGGGGCTCCGAAGTCCACCGCCGTGGCCTCCCGCATCGAATCGGCGTGCCCTTGGGTCCTTTGCCTAAGCCTTTGACCCTCAGCCCTCACTCCCGAGAATTTGTTAGGGGGGCCTGGATTACAGCTTCAACCAGAAGGTCCAAGAGGGACCCGAGTCGCCGACAGATTGCCCCAAGACGCCAAGAGTGCTTCAAGACCGCCCAGGAGGCTTCCATGACGCCCCAAGAGGCGTCACCAGAGGGCCCCGGGAGGCAGACTATGTTGATCATCTTGCTGTTTTGGTACGCCACCAACTCTGCGCTAGATTCCTCTCGCTTCGCGAGGTGCACGTCCGGATTGCGGAGAGCGCGGGCGTTTGGTTCGTTTTGGAAGATGTGCGTCGTTTCTCGTGGGCATCGATTTCAAGACACTTGGCTGATTTTGGGGAGCGCCCCCAAATCATCGCGCGCTTCGCGCGCGCGATGGTCCTAGCTAGGCTTGATCGGCTCACTCATGCAATCTCATTTTGGTCGCTTCTTGCGTCCAGGGACTCCCTTGGAGGCCCTGCGCAAGCTTCGGCATCGTATAGGAGGGGAAGTGCGGAAACGCAGAAATCATTAATTATCCTTCGGTATTCAGCGGTTCTTTTTGGGGAGGTGACGGGGGTCTGAATAGTGCTCTGTTGTGCAGGAGTAGACCCGGGGCCAAAATTGGAGAAAAAAAGGAATTGTGGGATTTCCATGTTTTTCCAGTTCCTCGGCGCTGTTCGGCGCTATTTTTTGTTTGTGCCTCGTGGGTTTTGTTAGCCGGGCCCCTCAGGGGTGTGGGAGCTTCCGGACCCCCTGGGGGTTCTGGAGGCCTCTTGGAGGCTTGGAGAGCCGTCGGAAGTGTGTCTCGCGCGGGAGCGTGTTGGGCCGTTCTTTACGCTCAGGGAGCTCCTTGTGTTCGTCTTCGGTTGTCCTTGGGCGTCTTGGGGGCCCCCCGGGAAGCTGGGAGGCACGGTGCCGGCCAGATGTCAGGGGATGTGTGAGATCTCCGTTGTTTGTTGTTCGTTGTCGTCGTCCCACCCGCCACTGGCCGCGACCCACCCGCGACCCACCTGCGACCCGCCTGCGATTCACCCGCGACCCACCCCGCGACCCACCCCGCGACCCACCCCCCGACCAACCTGCGACTCACCTGCGACCCACCCGCGACCCACCCGCGACCCACGCGGGACTCACCCGCGACCCACCCGCGACATCCGCGACCCACCCGCGACCAACCCGCGAGGCGCATCCACCCCTAAAGGGGTCGTACCTTAGGAGTCCCCATCCTCATGGGAATCCTGCCATAAGTGTATCCATCCACGCAGGGATCGTACCAGAGGGGCTTCCATCCGTATAGGGGCCGCACCAGGGGTGTATCCATCCCCATAGGGGGCGCGCCAGAGGTGCACCCATCCCTATATGGGGTCTACCAGATGTGTATCCACCCTAATGGGGGTCATACCAGAGGCGTACCCATCCGTATACGGATCGTGCCAGAGGAACATTCCATCCCTAGGGGGGTCCTGCCAGGGGGTTGGGGGGCATACGGGCGCCTCGCGGTAGGGGATGAGCCTCCTCGTCCTCCTTCTTGGGGGACAGGGGAGGGGAAGGGAATCTCCTCCTCCTTCTCCTCCTACTCCTCCCATCCCGAAGGAAAGGGACAGGGAAATCTCATCCTCATTCGGCTCCCCCATTCTTCTACGGATGGAAAGGCAAGGGCATGGGCCGCATCCTCTACCTCCTTCCTGAGGGAAAGGAAGGGAATGGCCCTGCTCCTCCTCATATTCTTCTTCCTTCTGATGGAACTGGGCAGGAGGGGGACCTTCCTCTCCTCCCTGTCCTCCCTGAAGGAGAAGGGAGGAAAGGAGCGTCCCCCCCCTTCCTCCTCCTTCTGAGGGGAAGGGGAGGGAAGGGACATCCTCCTCCTCCTGTCATGAAGGGTAGGGAAAGGAAGGAACATGCCCTCCCCTTCCTAATGGAAAGGGACGGGAAGTGACCTCCTCATCCTCCTCCTCGTCGTCCTCCTCCTCCTTATCCTCCCCCTCCTTCCTGAGGGAAAAGGAATGGGCGGAACCTCTCCCTCGCCCTTCTGAGGGAAAGGGGGAGGGAAGAAACCTCCCCACCATCCTCCTGCTTCCACAAGGAAAAGGGCAGGGAATGAACCTCCTCCTCGTCTTCCTTCATGAGATAACGGGACAAGGAGGAACCCCCTCCTCCTCCGTCCTGAAGGGAAGGGAAGGGCAGGAAGTTCCCCCTCCTCTTTCCTGAGGGAGAATGAAGGGAATGAGCCTCATCCTTTTCCTCCTCCTTTTGAGGGAAAGGGAAGCGAATGGCCTTCCTCGTCCTCCTCCGTCCTTGGGGACAGGGAAGGGGAGGGGACCTCCTCTTTTCTCCTGAGGGAAAGGAAAGGATTTGCTCCTCCCTTCCCCCCCCCCTCCTCCACATGAGGGAACGGGGCGGGGGGGGGGCCTCGTCCTCGTCCTTCCTCCAGAGGGAAAGGAGGGGAATGGGCCTCATCATCCTCTTCCTCCTCCTTCTGATGGAAATGGGCAGGAAGGGGGCCTCCTCCTTTCTTCCCTGAAGCAGAGGGAAGGGAAGGGACCGCCTTCCCAACCTTATCCTCCTCCTCCTCCTCCCCCTCCCCCTCCTCCTCCTCCTCCTCCTTCTGAAGGAAACGGAATTGAAGGGACATTCTCCTCTTCCCCTGCCTTGAGGGAAAGGGAAATGAAGGACTGCCCCCCTCCTCTTCCCCGAGGGGAAGCAAAGGGAAGGGGGCTTCCTCCTCCTGAGTGAAAGGGGATGAACTGCGCCTCCTCATCCGCATCCTCCTTCCTGAAGGGATGGGAAGGGAGGGGGAAATCCTCGCCCCCCCCCCCTCGTCCTCCTCCTCCTTCCGGAAGGAAGAGGGGGGATTGTAAGATGATTGAATGTCTCCTTTTCTGGGGTCCCGGTGTGTGTGTGTGTGTGCGTGCGTGCGTGCGTGCGTGCGTGCGCGCGCGCGTGTGTGTGTGTGTGTGTGTGTATGTGTGTGTGTGTGTGTGTGTGCGTGTGTGTGTGTGTGTGTGTGCGTGTGCGGGTCGCACATTGCTTCCCTTTGCGAGGAAATGTGCATTGATTTCCTTTGTTTTGGGGAGGGGGTTCAAATTGATTCCTTTTGCGTGGGGCTATAACCAGATTTCCTTTTGTGGCGGAATTGCGAATCGATTCCCATTGTGGGTGGTGGTGGTGGTGGGGTGGGGGGGGGGGGATGGGGGGTGGGGGGCTTCTATTTGTTTCGCTTTGAAGCGGAAGTGCAAACATATTTTCTTTGTGGAGGTTTACACATCGATTCCCTTTGTGTGAGGGGGTGCACATTGATTCTTTTTGTGGGGGTTGCAAATGGATTTCCTTTGTGGGCGTTTGAATATTGATTTCCTGTGTGGTGGAATTGCAAATCGATTCCCTTTGTTGGGGGTTACATATAGATTTCCTTTGTGATGGGGGTGCACATTTATTCCTTTCGCGGCGGAGGAAAAGGGGGGGGTCTGGCCCCGGGGGAAAGGCCGCAGCAACAACAAAAAACTGACCCCTTCCAGGGCCAGGGGAATTTATTTGCACCCCCACAATGAACATCTATCTGTAATCCCGCCACAAAGGGAATCGACATGTAGGCTCCGCATAGAGGGAGAAAGAGAGAGAGAGAGAGAGAGAGAGAGAGAAAGAGATAGAGAGACGCATGAGGTAAACACCGAAGAAGAGAAGACGGCTGCCCCCGCCTACATTCTTCGGGGCACGAACACCAGGGGCACCGATATGCGCGTGCACCCATATATACATATTCATATACACACGTAGATAGACGCACCCGAGCTGGCATGTCCCCCGCAGAAATTGCCAGGGGCATTTCATGCGTAGCGTCATATCCTGCGTGTGGAGTAGGCCGAAGTATGTCGTGAATGGTTTATAGATCTTGTGAATGCACTTGGTGCAGCGTCGCGCTGCCCGCTGGCAATGCCTCTGTCGAGCCATGAGTGCCGTGGAAGATTTATGACGTGTAATGTACATTTGTGTATAAATAACTAGTCATTTATGCATACATATACACAGACGTAGATGTGCACACCCCTGAACAGTCCAGGCAGGTGGCACGGTGCTTGCAGCGCGCAGCAGCAAGGGATGTGAAGCGCATGTACGCATGGAAGGTTTGTGCAGTTGGGCCAGTCTTTGCTTCTCCTTGTTCCTTTGAGGGACTCACTCCAGACGCAAGAGATCACCCCCGACCCGCAGCAGATGAGCATCTTGAACGCCGTCGCCGACAGGTGCGTCCAAGAGGCCAGAGAGCAAGACCAGCCGCGCGGATCGCCATGCTTTCGGCTGTTCGTTCTCTGTCTACCGGGATCAGGGAAGTTCCAGCTCATCCGGTGGCTGTGCGGCGAGGACGTGGGGTTGTTCCCCACGCGCATGGGATGGGAGCGCGAGGTGCGCTTCATGATGACGGCCCCGATGAATTCCATGGCGAGCAACATGGGTGGGAGGACCGCCCGCATCTTCAGCGAGCTCGGGATTGATCTCATCACGGGAGTCCAGTCAGGCGGGAAGAAGGACCCGGGGCTGTTTGAGAATTTGCTTCGCACGAAAATCCAGCACATGCGCTGGCTTATCATCGACGAGATCGAGAGCGCGTCAGTGGAGCTGCTGGACGCCGTGCGCAGGCAGGTGAAGGACTCGACGAGAGAAGGGAAACCCGTGGGCTGTGGACGCCCGCGCCCCCAAACAGTTCGCCATGTTCGGCGGGCTGAACCTTGTGCTTCTCGGAGATTTGTGGCAGATCCCGCCCGTGGGGATATTGAGTATTGTTGCCGGTCCTTTTCCTAAGGCGGCCAGCCAACGTCGGCCGCATACTGGAGGTGTTCTGGACAGAGGGCTTGCCGCGCTCAGCAATTCGCCGCAAGGCGCTGAGCCAGTCGCACCGCTGCTCCGACCCGTGGTGGACGAGCTTCTTCGCAGATGCGCGCGCGCGGGGGATCTGTCGGACAGGATGCGCGACTTCGTCCGCGGCTTCCCCGCGGACGCGCCGGGCTCGCGGATGCCCAAGCCCCAGCAGCGCCGAGGCCCCGACGGGGCACCTCGGCTGCGGGAAGGCGAAGCGCCGCGCGCTCTGGTCAGTTGAGTGGCCACGGATGTTCGGAGAGGGTCGGCCCTGGGAAGACGTGCGACCTCTGGGGCGCGCTGATTGCAGCGTGGAACGCCGTCGGCGCTGCCGCGTCGCTTCCCAGAGCGATGCCAGACAGTGGGAGGTGAGTGCGGCGTTCGCGGACGCGCCGTTTGCGCGCCCGTACATCGCCCCGAAGAGCAGGATTTCGACGTTGCGAGCGTCGTGTGCGGCAGCCAACGCGGGGAAGCAGGTCCGCTGGGTGGTGGCGCGCGACGCCCCTCTCACTCGGGGCGACGGATGCAGGTCGAAGGGGCCCCTCGCCCGCGCCGGGCAGAGCTGGCTCATGTACCCGGAGAACAAGGCTGGCGAAGTCCCGGGCGCGCTGCCGATCGAAGGGGCGCGAGCGCGGCTCGCGACCACGGGGGATGCTGAGGCGGGGGCCTCCAAACACTCCTGGGGAACCGTGGCGGCCTGGGCCCTCCATCCCGACGATTCGAAGTTGGCGAGCGAGCGCAGGTCCGAGCCGGAGCTGGTTCTGCCGCGCGTGCCTGACGCGATTATCGTGCACGTCCTCGGAGCACAGCACCCCGCTTTGGCAATGAGCCCGCGGGTGTCTTCCCGGCGAAGCTGAAGGCGGCGACGTGGGATCGCAGCCCCAGCTTCAAGACCGCGGTGAAGCGCGCGGGGCCCCCGCTGGCCCCGCACTTCGCCGCCGCGGCCCACTGCGTCACTGGCGCGACTTTGCCGCGGGTCATCGCCGACCTCCTGGGCGCCCGCGCGACGCCCCGTGCGCCCATGGTGCCAGTGGTCTACGTTGTGATTACCCAGCGTTTTTCCCCCATGCGGTTCCGCCGGGGGCATCAGACGGGCCCGCGGTTCCTGCGCCCCCTCACCGCAGGTGACATGACAACCGAACAGACGCGAGCTGGCTGGGCCAAGGCAGGGAAGGAAGCCACTTCCAGGTCGTCGAAGAATTTGGTGGACGTCACGTTCAAGTGGGCCGACTGCCACCAACGGGAGCGGGGAACTTCCTTGGACATGGCGCGAGAACGGACGATCCTGCGGAGCACGCCATGGCGGCGCTGAGCCAGGGTGCCTGGAGGAGGTGCGCCCTCTGCGCGCAGTAGCGGGCCTCTGTTTCTGGCCGCCGCAGGCGCAGTGCCGGCAACTCGAAGGGGGGGGCCGTGCTCGTCTGCGACCGCTGCAAGGGGCAGAAATCATTGCAGGATTCCCGACGCAGCGAGGTCAACGACTTGACGTGCAGGGGGGTGCTGGATCTCGCCGTCTGCGTCGCTTGCGCGCCCGAGAGAGCATTTCAACGCCCGCGCGGCGGGCCGCCATTTGAAATGTCGCATCTGTGGGAAGGAGAAGCCCCCCGAGGGATTCGATGCAACTTTTCTCGCGATGCATGAGAGCGTGAGAGACGCCGAGTGCACGGCGTGTCTGGGCGACAATTTGAAATTCTCTGCAAGGGGGGCATGCGGGGCGGGGCCTCCAGATCGCGTAGGGAACGGGCGCAGTCTTTGGTGGTGCGCGTCGTGCAGATCTCCGCCGTGCGCGAGATGTGGCTCGGCTCCGCGGCCGAAGACGGCCAAGTACAGAGTCTGGAACGTGCAAGAGTGGGCCTGCATTCCGTGCCGGGCTCTGTGCCGGGGTTTAAATTCGCGCTGTGTTCGGCAGTGTTTATGCGAGAAGCGGTGCGCAGCTCCCAGCGTGACAAAGCAGACTTGCTCTGCCCCGCGTGCTGGCGGGCAGAGTAGGCGCCGCGCAGGCGATCCAGATTGGTAATCACCGCTGTGGAGAAGTGTTGTCGGTTGGCGTGACCTCCTCGGCTGGCGCGCGTGCGTGCCGCTCCGTCCTGCCATTCCCGTTGTTTCTGGGCGGCCTCGTGGGAGGCTCTTGGGGGCCTCTGGAACGCTTCTTGGGGGCCTCCTGGAGCTTCGTTGGGGCCGCTGTGGCGCCTCTAGGGGCTTCTTGTTGACGTCTTGCGCCAGCTCGGGGCGCTCTTGCGCCGCCTGGCCTTTTTTGGAGGCCATCTTGGGGGCCAGGGCTCTTTCTGTTGGGAATTTTTTGAGCTCCGTGGACCGTCCCGGGGGCTCTTTTGCCCGTCTCGGGGCCCTTTTGTGCAAGTTTGGGGCCCCTATGGGCCGTCTTGGGGTCTACTTGGAGGCTGCTTGGGCCGTCATGGTCCTCTGAGAGCCGAAAAAGGTGAGAACTCGCGGCCCCTTTGGGGACCATCTGGGGCCTTCTTGGGGGCCGTTTGGGGCGTTCTTTTGGGCCATCTTGAGGCCCTCTTGGAGTCCCAACAGGCCCAGGGGGCATACTTTCTATATGTGCATAGGTTTTTGTAGGTTTCGAGACCCAGAATGAGGGCCTCCAGCTTTGGTATGGTGTTGTGGCGCGACTCCAGGGGGAAACAGGAACGCTATGAGGCCTTCTTCTTTCGCAAACAACGAACAATTCATCAGGGTCAGTGATCCGTTCTTGGTGATATGATTCGTCAAGGCACCCAATCCCAATCGAACGGCAATCACCTGAGGCCTTAGGGCCCCAGGCAATCGCATTCGGGGCGGAGAATCCGCAGCCCGCTCGGACGCTTCAGGGCGCTAGGGGGCGGGAGGAAGAAAACATATCATACAGTAAGCAGCTTGTGTGAAAACGACACTCGCAGATTTGTCTGTTTTTTTTTTTCTTGCCTTTTCTTCATGTGAAAGCATTGGCCTTTTAGTGTTGTTCCAGTTTTTCCTGTTTTCCCCTTCTCCGTGGTGCTGCGAGGAAGGGCCGCGGGCCGCTCGGATATCACAGGGCGCTCTGGGGAGGGAGGGGGAAAACAGGAGAAACATGGAAGCACATAAAAACCGTATACTTTCACATGGAAAGCGTGAAGAACTTGAAACAACGACAGTCACAGGTGTCGCTGCCTTCTCTTGTTTTCCCATGTGAAGACACATGTTTTGTTTAAACTGTTTTTCTGGTTGTTCATGTTCTCATCTCCTCCGTTTCGTTGCGAGGAAGGGCCGTGGGCCGCTCGGAGACCCCAGGGCGCCCAGAGGGGGGAGGAGGAAAACAGGAACAACAGGAACCATTTGTAAAAACCTTGCGTTTTCAAACAGAAGAACCTGTCAAATTTGAAAAACAGCGACAGCCACAAATTTCGCTGCCGTTTCTTGGTTTTCCGTGTGGACACACATGGTTTTTATAGTTTTTCCTGTTGTTTTTTTGTTTTGCCGTTTAGTTCTCCTGGGCCCAAGGCGCCGCCATTGCAGATCCCCCCACAATGGAAACCCTGTTGAAAGCCCGCCACACACGGAGTCCTTTTTGTAAAGGCTGCTGCAAAGGGGTTCAATGTGTGAAGGCCATTGCAGGTCCCCCTCACTTGAAATCCTCGTGTCAGGTCGCCACACAACGAATGCGTTTGTAAAGGCTTCTGCGCGAGGGTTTCAATTGTGGAACGTCTGCGCCATAAAGAAAGCTGGCATTCACAGGTCTTCCTAGCTGGTTCCTATTTTCCCTGTGCAAAAAACATTTGTTTGTGTTGTATGGCTTTCCTGTCTTCCTCTTTAGCTTTCCTGGGCTCAGGGTGCCGCCACTGCAGGTCCCCCCACAATGGAAACCCTTTATGTAAGGCCGCCACGAAATGAATTCTTTTGCACAAGGCTGTTGCAAAAGGATTCTAAGTGTGAAGGCCACTGCAGATCCCCCACACTTGAAATCCTTGTGTAAGGTCGCCACACAAGGAATCCGTGTGTAAAGGCTGCTGCAAAAGGGTTTTAAGTCTGGAGCGTCTGCACCATACGAATACCAACAGTGGCAGGTCTTCCTAGCTTTTTCCTAATCTTCCCTGTGAAAACACATGCTTTTTCATGTTTTTGATGTTTTTTTTCCTGTTTTCCTCTCTAGCTTTCCTGGGCTCAAGGTGCCGCCACTGCAGATCCCCCCACAATGAGAACGTTGTTGTAAGGCCGCCGCAAAAAAGGAATTCTGGTGTAGAGGCCGTTACAAAATGATCTTAAATGTGGAGGCCACTGCAGGTGCATCACAGTTGGAATCCTTGTACAAGGTCGCCACACAAGATATCCTTGTGTAAAGGCTGCTACAAAAGAAATTGAAGTGTGGAACGTCTGCGCCATACGAGTACCGACAGTCACGCGTCTTCGTAGTTGGCTCTTATTTTTCCATGTGCAAACATGTTTTTTTCATGCTTGTCTTGTTGTTCCTGTTTTCCTCTTTAGCTTTCCTGGGCTTAAGGCGCCGCCATTGCAGATCCCCCCACAATGGAAAGCTTGTTGACAGGCCGCCACACAAGGATTCCCTTTGTAAAGGCTGCTGCAAAGGGGTTATAATTGTGAAGGCCATTGCAGGCCCCCCTTCGCCGCACAAGGAATGCGTTTGTAAAGGCTGCTGCACAAGGGTTTAAATTGCGGAACGTCTGCACCATAATAATGCCGACAGACACAGGTCTTCCTAGCTTTTCCCTATTTTCCTTGTGAGAAACACAAAGCTGTCAGCTGTTGTATGTTTTGCATGGTTTCCCTGTTCTCCTCTTTAGCTTTCCTGGGCTCAAGGTGCCGCCACTGCAGATCCCACCACAGTGAAAACGCTGTTGTAATGCCGCCACGAAATGATTTCGTTTGCAAAAGGCTGTTACAAAAGGATTCTAATTGTGAAGGCCACTGCAGATCCCCCACATTTGAAATCCTTGTGTAAGGTCGCTACTCAAGGAATCCGTTTGTAAAGGCTGCTGCAAGAGGATTATAAGTGTGGAGCGTCTGCACCATAATAATGCTGACAGACACAGGTCTTCCTAGCTTTTTCCTAATCTTCCCTGTGAAAACACATGCTCTTTCATGTTTTTGATGTTTTTTCCTGTTTTCCTCTCCAGCTTTCCTGGGCTCAAGGTGCCGCCACTGCAGATCCCCCCACAGTGAAAACGCTGTTGTAAGGCCGCCGCAAAAGAATTCCCTTTGTAAAGCTGCTATAAAAGGCTTCTAATTGTGAAGGCCAGTGCAGGTCCCCCTCACTTGAGTTCCTTGTGTAAGGTCGGCACACAAGGAGTCCTTTTGTAAAGGCTGCTACACACGAATTTTTAAGTGTGGAACGTCTGCACCACAGAAGTACCGACAGTCACAGGTTCTTTGCATGTGGAAACACATTATTTGTCATGTTTGTTCCTTGTATGATGATGCTGCGTATGATGCAGGTGATGATGATGATGATGATGATGATGATGACGATGATGATGATGATGATGATGATGATGATGATGATGAGCAAGATCATGATGACTATGATTGTCATGATGATGATGATGATGATCGTGATGATGATGATGATGATGATGATGATGATCATGATGATGATGATCATGATGATGATCATGATGATGAGGAGGATGCGCACATTGCGAGACAGGAGGGCCTCACAGCGTTCCCCTTTCCTCTAGGGGGGGGGGTAGGGGGGAGACATAATGCTGCATAACGATACCATAAATAGCTACTCTGCAATCGTTGGACTCATAGAATACGTTGTATTATCGCCTCCGCAGAAAACGCTGCTGCTCAGCACGTCACTTCCGGAACTGGATTCTTAGGCTTACGCCGCGCCGCCGACCCCATGGTGGGTATTGGGGCCGGCTTGGGGGCCCCTTGGAGCGCCAGCGTCGGAAAGTCGAAGACGAGGGAGGCCCAAAAACTTGCAACAATGCATGCGACAGTTGCAATTTTCGCCTCGTGGGGCCTCTTGGGTTCGAGGCGGGTTCCCTGGGCCGTCGAGGGGCCAACTCTTGTTCGTCTGTGGGCGCTCTTTTGGCGACTCGGTGCCTTCCCAGATTGTCTTGGGCCTAGGCCTGGGGGCCCCCCCCCCTAAGCAGACTCTTCCCTTACCATTTCGCTGTTTTCCTCGCCCCCTGAAAGGTCGAGGCCCATTCCATCAGTTAGAGCTCGACGAGAGCTTCAAGACGGCGGCGCTAATGCGCCGCTCGGCCTTCTGTGGGCCGCGTTCGGGCTCCGGGACCGAGTCGACAGAATGGTCAAGGATGCGAGCCATCACGAGGCCCCTCCCCTTATCACAGGGGGATCGCCCCGCCATGGGGCTACGGTCCTCGCGAGGGGGTGCGAATGGGCGCGAAGGTGCCGTGGGAACGCTGCCGCTGGGGCCGTCGGTGGAGCCCCCTTGTGGAGGCCACGGCCCTCGTGAGGGGGTGTGCCGAACTGGGCGCGGCGCTGCCGTGCGCCTTGGATCCTGCACCTCCCATGTCGGGTGTAAAATTTTCCAGCAGGAGCAAAGCTCTCCTCGTCCTCCTCCTCCTCCTCGCCTTCCCGTTCGTCCTCGTCCTGCTTCTCCCCCTCCTCATCTTCCTCCTTTCCCACCTCCTCCCCGCTCCCGTTGCGAAGCGAACGTGAAGCGTAGCGCGCATGCGCCAGTGGGGGGATGCAGGACAACCGGCGCACCGGAATCCTAAGTCTAGTTTTGCGCGGACTTCCGTGCGAAGCCAGCTCGAGATAGGGGGGGGGAACACGCTGCCTGCCCACCTCAACTTGGGGTGGTTGGATAGGCCGCGGAAACGGCCCTGAACAGCAACAGCAATACAGTCGGCCCAGATTAGTAGGTCGACCCTGCCAGATCAAGGGTACCCTTGTGTCCTGTGTCTCGCGATCCATGCTTCCTACATTCCTATGGCAATGTGGCCCTCGGAAGGGTCTTGTGTCCTCTTGCGTGTCCTGTCCAATCGAGTCCGACTGTAGCAACACTAGCATCACTAGTACCACACCTCAATTCGACGCCACAACGAGAAAGCAAGAGCAATGAAAACCAACATCAAGGAACAACTCGCGCAACAACAACATGAGCTAGCGCCCAATTCAAAACACTCAAGTCTCCGTAGCTTCTTTGGGTCAATACACATCTCCCGCGTTCAGGGCAAGCGACACTGTCATTTGATATCGTGTAAGTTCCAATGGGGCTACTGAGCATGCTGGCGGAACTGACGGCTGCGCTTGTGGCAGTCGCATGTGCAAGGGGGGATGGCTTCGATTCCAGCCTGATGCAGATTGCGGCAGTGGAAAAAACCCAAGAACAAACGAACGAACAATGGACGCGCATTGCATATTCTGATCCCTCCATTTCGCAAACTTTAATTGCATTGCTTCGATCACTCCGCCAGCCCATCTGGCATCGACGGGGCTGCGTGGCTGTGTGGGTGTGAGGCCACTCGGATATCTGATGGGCTCTCGTGGGAGGCGTTTCCGGGGCGCCTTGGAGGCAGTTTGGGGGACTCTTGGGGGCCTCTTGTAGGCTCCTGGGGCCTCTTCGGGCCTCTCGGAGCCCCCTTTGGGCGGAAGGCTCGGATTTCCCAATCGCGTTCCTCCTTCTTTGGGCCATCTAGGGCGTCTATTGGCACGTCTTGGGAGCCCTTGGACCGTCTTGGGCGCCTCCTGGGGGCCTCTTTGGCCGTCTGGGAACGATCTTCGGAGTCTCTCGGGCCGTCTGGGAGAGTCAAGGCGCCGAAAAGCGAAGAGGGCCGACCACTTAACCTTACAATACAACGGAGAATCCGTGATTCTCCTTCTCGGGGCCCTCTCGGGAGTGCCGTTGGAAACGTTCTGGCGGCCTCTCGGGCAGTCGTGGCGCCGTCTGGGGCATTTGGGGCCGATCTTTTGGGGGCGCTGGTCCCTCTTGGTCCAGTTCTGGCGCCCTCTTCAGGCCGTCTGTGGCAGCTCTTGGGCCGTCTTGGGGGCCTCCGGCATTTCTGTCGGGGATCGGCCAGGACCTTGCTGGGACCATCCCGGGATTTTGCCAGGACTGTTCTGGGACCTCGCCGGGGTGTTCGCCACCCCAGGACCCCCAGGCGCGGCTAGGCGCGCGCGAACTAGAACAGTGCTCAGTGCTCAATTGTTATCGGAGGTCTGAGCACGCTTGTGGTCCGTTGGGCTGGCGAATTTTGGACATGGCGCTCCAAGACATACAAGCTCTTGCCGCAGGCGCGACGCGGGTCCGCATAAATTCAGTTGGGGATCCTAACGATGGCGTTGTGAGCACGGCGAACACTTGGCCCATTGAAGATGTTCGCTTGGGCCGAAGCATTGGGGCCGCCCGCACGATATCATCGACACAAGTATCAGCAATTTGGTCAGGCACGCAAGTCAACCGCATGTGGAAGACATGCTCGGGGAACTATGTGGCTCTTGATGTCATGATTTACCAAGCGTGTGGAAATAATAATGGACTGCATTGGGCCAGTTCTACTTCGAAGTGGTCTTTGCTGGGGTCTACGGTGGGGCTTGAGCTCTACATTGACGCCGCGGCAAGCCCCAGTCCGACGCTCTCCCCGACGGCCAGCCCCACGCCCAGCCCCACGGCTAGTCCCTCGGCCAGTCCGACCTCCAGTCCCTCGCCCAGCCCCACGCCCAGCCCCACGCCCAGCCCCGCGCCCAGCCCTACGGCCAGCCCCACGGCCAGTCCCTCGGCCAGTCCGACGGCCAGTCCCTCGGTCAGTCCGACGCCCAGCCCCACGCCCAACCCCACGGCCAGTCCCTCGGCCAGTCCGACGGCCAGCCCCACGGTCATGTCGATGCCATTGACAGTCGCGGGCAAAGGCGACCCACATTTGGTGAATGTGCATGGCCAGAAGTTCGACCTCTACCAGCCTGGGGTGCACCCACTCATTCGAATTCCGAAAGCGACAAGAAAGACTACCGCTCTCCTCGTACTGGCGAGGGCGACTCAAATTGGGGACGGTTGCAACGATATGTATCTAATTGCCTTCGGCATGTTCCGCCACCGTGCCTCGATGATGCGTCAGAGGCGTCCTGGTTGTGGGTTGGGAGCTCGTGGTTGGCATCTTTAAGGCCTCTGGGGGGCAGATTCCAGGCCCCTGGAGGCCTCCTGGGGGCAGTTTTGGGGCCTCTTTGGGGCCTCTTGGGGACCTCTTAAGGGCCCCATCGGGGCTCCTCGGCGGGGCCCTAGGGGCCTCGTGGGGGGCCCCTCTTGGGGCGGGAGGGGGGGTAGTGGATTGTGGTACGCCCCTTGGAGGCCACGATCCTCCCGAGGGGCGTCGAAAACGAGCCCTCCCCGAAGTCATGGGCGACGTGGCGCAGAGCGGCGGAGGCCACGATCCTGTGGATGGGGTGTCAAAACGTGGACCTCCCCTCAGCTCGGGACCCCCCTCGGAGGCCACGATCCTCGTAAGGGGTGCCAAACCTCTCCAAAGTCACGCCTGGGAGACGCGGCGCGGCCCGGGAGATTTGGCAACGATTCCTCAGGAACGATCGCAGGGACCAGGAGGAGGAGGAGGAGGAGGAGGAGGAGGAGGAGGAGGAGGAGGAGGAGGAGGAGGAGTTGCATGGAGGAGTCCCAAGAGGCCGAATGGGGTCTCAGGACACGCCCACTCCGTGCAGGAGGGCACGGTGGCGGATTTTACGGAGGTCAACATCTCGGGCGTGTGGACGCGCCACCGAGCGTCGGGCCTCGCTTGGACCGTGGACTCCATCGGGCCAGGCCGCGCCAAGTGGAGCACCTTTCACAGCATACACGTGAAGGTTCGGAGAAGGAGAAGGTACCGATACCGCCACCCCACCGCCGCTGTGGCCCTCCTGGGCCTCCTGAACTTCCCTCAGGTCCCTCGCTGCCACGGCCGGATTCGCCTTGAGATTCTGACCAGAACGCACCCCAGGAGAGGTCCATGGGGGTAGCGGTATCGGTACTTTTTCGTCTCCCAAAGGTGGTCCGCGGGCATACCCTGGCTGGCACGAGGTATTTGAATGTCTTCGTGCGGGGACTTGACAAGGCCAAGTTTGCAATCGGGGGCCTCCTCGGAGAGGACGACCACACCGCTGCGAGCACGCGCAGCACCGACTGCAAGAAGACCGTGTCCTTGTGAGGCCCGCGCGCGCACCTGCAATGGACCCGCTGGCGATTCTGGGGCCCGTTCCCTCGAGCGCTGCGCGTTGCAGTCGGTCTCTGCGCTTGGATCACGAAGAGTCCGCATGGAGCGGGCTCCTGCCACTGAGGGCAGGGTTGGGCCTGTGCCGCCCTATTTCGGCGCGCCTTGACATTTTGTCCTCTGGGATTGCGGATGAAAAAAGCGCTTCATCCATAGTTCTTGATGCGATCGAGGGAGGTGCTTGTAGAACAGCGCGACTTTGGTCAGAGCACACTTTGAGGTCAGGGTCTTCGCTTCAGCGTGAGCAGGTGAGTTCGGGTTGCCGCGTTGGTTCTGGCAAGTCACCTAACCAGGAATGCTTTGCGTGCGCGGCTGCTGGGGACAGTCCAAACAGAACACATTAGCGTGGCGAAGGCCCAACGATACGAGAGCCCGAATGGGGCTCCGAAGTCCACCGCCGTGGCCTCCCGCATCGAATCGGCGTGCCCTTGGGTCCTTTGCCTAAGCCTTTGACCCTCAGCCCCCACTCCCGAGAATTTGTTAGGGGGGCCTGGATTACAGCTTCAACCAGAAGGTCCAAGAGGGACCCGAGTCGCCGACAGATTGCCCCAAGACGCCAAGAGTGCTTCAAGACCGCCCAGGAGGCTTCCATGACGCCCCGAGAGGCGTCACCAGAGGGCCCCGGGAGGCAGACTATGTTGATCATCTTGCTCTTTCGGTACGCCACCAAATCTGCGCTAGATTCCTCTCGCTTCGCGAGGTGCACGTCCGGATTGCGGAGAGCGCGGGCGTTTGGTTCGTTTTGGAAGATGTGCGTCGTTTCTCGTGGGCATCGATTTCAAGACACTTGGCTGATTTTGGGGAGCGCCCCCAAATCATCGCGCGCTTCGCGCGCGCGATGGTCCTAGCTAGGCTTGATCGGCTCACTCATGCAATCTCATTTTGGTCGCTTCTTGCGTCCAGGGACTCCCTTGGAGGCCCTGCGCAAGCTTCGGCATCGTATAGGAGGGGAAGTGCGGAAACGCAGAAATCATTAATTATCCTTCGGTATTCAGCGGTTCTTTTTGGGGAGGTGACGGGGGTCTGAATAGTGCTCTGTTGTGCAGGAGTAGACCCGGGGCCAAAATTGGAGAAAAAAAGGAATTGTGGGATTTCCATGTTTTTCCAGTTCCTCGGCGCTGTTCGGCGCTATTTTTTGTTTGTGCCTCGTGGGTTTTGTTAGCCGGGCCCCTCAGGGGTGTGGGAGCTTCCGGACCCCCTGGGGGTTCTGGAGGCCTCTTGGAGGCTTGGAGAGCCGTCGGAAGTGTGTCTCGCGCGGGAGCGTGTTGGGCCGTTCTTTACGCTCAGGGAGCTCCTTGTGTTCGTCTTCGGTTGTCCTTGGGCGTCTTGGGGGCCCCCCGGGAAGCTGGGAGGCACGGTGCCGGCCAGATGTCAGGGGATGTGTGAGATCTCCGTTGTTTGTTGTTCGTTGTCGTCGTCCCACCCGCCACTGGCCGCGACCCACCCGCGACCCACCTGCGACCCGCCTGCGATTCACCCGCGACCCACCCCGCGACCCACCCCGCGACCCACCCCCCGACCAACCTGCGACTCACCTGCGACCCACCCGCGACCCACCCGCGACCCACGCGGGACTCACCCGCGACCCACCCGCGACATCCGCGACCCACCCGCGACCAACCCGCGAGGCGCATCCACCCCTAAAGGGGTCGTACCTTAGGAGTCCCCATCCTCATGGGAATCCTGCCATAAGTGTATCCATCCACGCAGGGATCGTACCAGAGGGGCTTCCATCCGTATAGGGGCCGCACCAGGGGTGTATCCATCCCCATAGGGGGCGCGCCAGAGGTGCACCCATCCCTATATGGGGTCTACCAGATGTGTATCCACCCTAATGGGGGTCATACCAGAGGCGTACCCATCCGTATACGGATCGTGCCAGAGGAACATTCCATCCCTAGGGGGGTCCTGCCAGGGGGTTGGGGGGCATACGGGCGCCTCGCGGTAGGGGATGAGCCTCCTCGTCCTCCTTCTTGGGGGACAGGGGAGGGGAAGGGAATCTCCTCCTCCTTCTCCTCCTACTCCTCCCATCCCGAAGGAAAGGACAGGGAAATCTCATCCTCATTCGGCTCCCCCATTCTTCTACGGATAAAGGCAAGGCATGGGCCGCATCCTCCTACCTCCTTCCTGAGGGAAAGGAAGGGAATGGCCCTGCTCCTCCTCATATTCTTCTTTCCTTCTGATGAACTGGGCAGAGGGGGACCTTCCTCTCCTCCCTGTCCTCCCTGAAGGAGAAGGGAGGAAAGGAGCGTCCCCCCCCTTCCTCCTCCTTCTGAGGGGAAGGGGAGGGAAGGGACATCCTCCTCCTCCTGTCATGAAGGGTAGGGAAAGGAAGGAACATGCCCTCCCCTTCCTAATGGAAAGGGACGGGAAGTGACCTCCTCATCCTCCTCCTCGTCGTCCTCCTCCTCCTTATCCTCCCCCTCCTTCCTGAGGGAAAAGGAAGGGGCGGAACCTCTCCCTCGCCCTTCTGAGGGAAAGGGGGAGGGAAGAAACCTCCCCACCATCCTCCTGCTTCCACAAGGAAAAGGGCAGGGAATGAACCTCCTCCTCGTCTTCCTTCATGAGATAACGGGACAAGGAGGAACCCCCTCCTCCTCCGTCCTGAAGGGAAGGGAAGGGCAGGAAGTTCCCCCTCCTCTTTCCTGAGGGAGAATGAAGGGAATGAGCCTCATCCTTTTCCTCCTCCTTTTGATGGAAAGGGAAGCGAATGGCCTTCCTCGTCCTCCTCCGTCCTTGGGGACAGGGAAGGGGAGGGGACCTCCTCTTTTCTCCTGAGGGAAAGGAAAGGATTTGCTCCTCCCTTCCCCCCCCCCTCCTCCACATGAGGGAACGGGGCGGGGGGGGGGCCTCGTCCTCGTCCTTCCTCCAGAGGGAAAGGAGGGGAATGGGCCTCATCATCCTCTTCCTCCTCCTTCTGATGGAAATGGGCAGGAAGGGGGCCTCCTCCTTTCTTCCCTGAAGCAGAGGGAAGGGAAGGGACCGCCTTCCCAACCTTATCCTCCTCCTCCTCCTCTCCCTCCCCCTCCTCCTCCTCCTCCTCCTTCTGAAGGAAACGGAATTGAAGGGACATTCTCCTCTTCCCCTGCCTTGAGGGAAAGGGAAATGAAGGACTGCCCCCCTCCTCTTCCCCGAGGGGAAGCAACGGGAAGGGGGCTTCCTCCTCCTGAGTGAAAGGGAATGAACTGCGCCTCCTCATCCGCATCCTCCTTCCTGAAGGGATGGGAAGGGAGGGGGAAATCCTCGTCCCCCCCCCCCCCTCGTCCTCCTCCTCCTTGCCGAAGAAGTGGGGATTGTAAGATTTGGATTAATTGTCTTCCTTTTTTCTTTCTGGGTCCCTGTGTGTGTGTGTTGTGTGCGTGGTGCGTCGTGCGTGCGTCGCGCGCAAGTGGGGTGTTGGTGTGTAAGTGTGTGTGTTGTGGTGCGGGTGTGGTGTTTGGGTGCGTGGTGCGGGCGCACATGGCCTTTCCCTTGGCGAGGAAATTCATTTGTTTCCTTTGTTGTGGGAGGGCGTCATATTGAATTCTTTTGCGGGGCTATAACCAGATTTCCTTTTGTGGCGGAATTGCGAATCGATTCCCATTGTGGGTGGTGGTGGTGGTGGGGTGGGGGGGGGGGATGGTGGGTGGGGGGCTTCTATTTGTTTCGCTTTGAAGCGGAAGTGCAAACATATTTTCTTTGTGGAGGTTTACACATCGATTCCCTTTGTGTGAGGGGGTGCACATTGATTTTTTTTGTGGGGGTTGCAAATGGATTTCCTTTGTGGGCGTTTGAATATTGATTTCCTGTGTGGTGGAATTGCAAATCGATTCCCTTTGTTGGGGGTTACATATAGATTTCCTTTGTGATGGGGGTGCACATTTATTCCTTTCGCGGCGGAGGAAAAGGGGGGGGTCTGGCCCCGGGGGAAAGGCCGCAGCAACAACAAAAAACTGACCCCTTCCAGGGCCAGGGGAATTTATTTGCACCCCCACAATGAACATCTATCTGTAATCCCGCCACAAAGGGAATCGGCATGTAGGCTCCGCATAGAGGGAGAGAGAGAGAGAGAGAGAAAGAGATAGAGAGACGCATGAGGTAAACACCGAAGAAGAGAAGACGGGTGCCCCCGCCTACATTCTTCGGGGCACGAACACCAGGGGCACCGATATGCGCGTGCACCCATATATACATATTCATATACACACGTAGATAAACGCACCCGAGCTGGCATGTCCCCCGCAGGAATTGCCAGGGGCATTTCATGCGTAGCGTCATATCCTGCGTGTGGAGTAGGCCGAAGTATGTCGTGAATGGTTTATAGATCTTGTGAATGCACTTGGTGCAGCGTCGCGCTGCCCGCTGGCAATGCCTCTGTCGAGCCATGAGTGCCGTGGAAGATTTATGACGTGTACATGTACATTTGTGTATAAATAACTAGTCATTTATGCATACATATACACAGACGTAGATGTGCACACCCCTGAACAGTCCAGGCAGGTGGCACGGTGGTTGCAGCGCGCAGCAGCAAGGGATGTGAAGCGCATGTACGCATGGAAGGTTTGTGCAGTTGGGCCAGTCTTTGCTTCTCCTTGTTCCTTTGAGGGACACTCCAGACGCAAGAGATCACCCCCGACCCGCAGCAGATGAGCATCTTGAACGCCGTCGCCGACAGGTGCGTCCAAGAGGCCAGAGAGCAAGACCAGCCGCGCGGATCGCCATGCTTTCGGCTGTTCGTTCTCTGTCTACCGGGATCAGGGAAGTTCCAGCTCATCCGGTGGCTGTGCGGCGAGGACGTGGGGTTGTTCCCCACGCGCATGGGATGGGAGCGCGAGGTGCGCTTCATGATGACGGCCCCGATGAATTCCATGGCGAGCAACATGGGTGGGGGGACCGCCCGCATCTTCAGCGAGCTCGGGATTGATCTCATCACGGGAGTCCAGTCAGGCGGGAAGAAGGACCCGGGGCTGTTTGAGAATTTGCTTCGCGCGAAAATCCAGCACATGCGCTGGCTTATCATCGACGAGATCGAGGGCGCGTCAGTGGAGCTGCTGGACGCCGTGCGCAGGCAGGTGAAGGACTCGACGAGAGAAGGGAAACCCGTGGGCTGTGGACGCCCGCGCCCCCAAACAGTTCGCCATGTTCGGCGGGCTGAACCTTGTGCTTCTCGGAGATTTGTGGCAGATCCCGCCCGTGGGGATATTGAGTATTGTTGCCGGTCCTTTTCCTAAGGCGGCCAGCCAACGTCGGCCGCATACTGGAGGTGTTCTGGACAGAGGGCTTGCCGCGCTCAGCAATTCGCCGCAAGGCGCTGAGCCAGTCGCACCGCTGCTCCGACCCGTGGTGGACGAG